ATATATATATATATATATATATATATATAAATATATATATATATATAAAGGCTTTATAAATCCTTCCCACACTCTTGCAACATTCTTAATGTTCTAAATGCTCTAAAAGAGCACAGCGAAAGAGAACAGACAGACTGATGCTACGATTACTGAGCCAGTCAGTGCGGCCCAATGACAAACTGGCCATCGGGAGCACTGGTCAGGCCCGCTCCCTGAGCAGTAGTGATGGCAAAAGACAGACCCTCCTCCTTTCTCTTTCTGAGGCTGTCTGTCACAGCGGAGCAGAGACTGACTGTTGTGTATCTTTGCTCTGCTGTGACAGATAGCCTCAGAAAGAGAAAGGAGGGGACGGGGGTGTCTGTCATACCTGAGTGGGCACACTCAGCCACTCTCTAAATTGATTCACTTTTCTTTTTCCATCTAAGCATTTTCTCTGATATTCTACACTTGTTCATCTGATCTGTTCATCCCTGCTCATTGAGCAGTAGCGATGGGGAAAGACATACCCCACCCTGCCTCCTCCTTTCTCTTTGTGAGGCTGTCTCCCTGCTCTGCTGTGACAGACAGACACAGAAAGAGAAAGGACAGGGCAGTAAAACGCTTTGAGTATCTTGATAAGGTAGAAAAAGCGCTCTATAAGTGCAGTCCATTTACCATTACCATATTTTGTGCTGTCCAAGTCACAGTATTTTTGCATAAATTTGCATACCTATGACTTATACAGCGAAAAGACAAATTTATGTTTTTTCCCCATATTTAATTTTTTTTGGCTGAGATCTAACCATTTCATTCATTCTGACATGGAAAATATTGAATACTATTTTCAGCCACTAGAGGGCCATCGACTAATATGGCATGCCGAGTGCCTCATTAATAGGTAAACATGGCTATTAATGAAACACCTGGCTTGCCATACAGCGCCACTTTTGTCTGCTCCGGAACTCCTGGAGCAAATGTCAAATCAGCTGCACTTTGCTGCCCCGTCGAAATGTAGCTGATTTGACCATTTCAAGTGCATTTTTTAAGGAAAACGTTAGATTGAGACACACCTTTACTATAATGTTGAGCAAACAAGAAAATTGTTTTTAGGTGGTTATCTTGTTAAATCTCAAAGAAATACACACACAGTTCTCCCTCTGCGCGCTCCCGCAGCCATGAATCGATCTTTGAAATACAGCTGATTTGACTGTTAAAGTGCATTTATTAAGGAAAAGTTCAATTGAGACACACCTTTGATATAATTTCGAGCAAACAAGTAATTGTTTTTAAGTGTTAATCTTGTTAAATTCTTGTTAAAGTCCTCCCGCGCATGCTCCCAAGGCTGCCATTTGGCAGCCAATTGATTTTTAGCACACCGGCTCACATTTCCCAGTTGTCAGCAGTGATGCACAACAAACGTGACGTGTCAGCGGTGCCGCATAATACATGCAACTTATACGGCGAAGTGACGTATTTATGTTTTTTCCCACTTTATTAGACATAGTTGGACTGATGCAAAGTTTAGAGCGGCAAGTACGGTACTTATTTAGGTTTAAACTGGACCATCTTTTTATTAAATAACTTGAGAAGTAGAAAATTTTCTTTATGTTTCCATTTATCAGTAAGAGATGATGATTGGTCCTAAAGTCAGATATTTAAGGACCACTGACTTAGTAGTTATTTTGTTTTCTAAATTGTGGCAGAAATGGGCTTCCATATATGTGTACAACCCCCTAAAATGTGACAACAGATAAAATATTGAAAAAACAATTCTGAATTTTAAATTAGGATCATACAAGAAAATCTCAAATTTTTATCTCACATATATTTTCTAAGAAACCTGAAAGTATTAAAAATATATCTTTCTAGCACAATTAAGTTTAATTAAATTTAAAAGTGAAATAAGAATTTGTGCATTCCATATTCAAAATGAGGATTAAAAACAAGCTCAACAAAATGTGTTTTTAAAATCTGGTACATTTTAAAAACAACAAAACAAAATGTTATTTGTAAGACTAAATAGCAAAACTTACAAAAAAAAAAAAAAAACAGCAGAAAGAAGTGAAAGTGTGCCCTCTAGTGTTTGATCCTCAGCATTACTGCTGTGCTGCAGACAAAACCAGCAAATCACATTCTGATTAAATATTTATTTTCTGCTGCTTTAGGAACACATAAAAACCTTTTCTTTCTGCAGAGTATTTACATTTTAGTGTTCATGAATAAACTAAGCTTTCAGTGACAGTACATGCCACCAACAACGCCAGCTGTAGCTGCTATTAACACAATGCACTGTAGTTATAGCTATTGTGATTTTTTTAAAAACATTTAGCAAAATTAAAGCGCAATAAATGTGTCAGTTTAATGTGAGCTCAAGATGTTTTGCACCAAAGTGAAAAAATAGAGCACGGCGAGCATAAAAGAGAGGAAGAAGAGGGAAAAATGACAAAAAGAAAGGTAGAAAAACAGATTTTATCCTGGTAACTTCATGCAGCTTTAATCTGTAAACGTGTCGCTTTAATCTGAACTCTCTGGAAACGTTTCGTCTTCGTACAAGTCCTCCAACTCGCCTTCTCTGCTCCCCTCTTTGCTGATTTTTCTGTGGGCGACAAATGTTTGTCCGTTACGTCGAAGGTAGAAGGACGAGGAGGAAGAGGTGAGGGGAGGGATGATGCTAGACTACAAATGCTAGGGATTATGTCTTTTAAAGCACAGCTCATCATTTTTGTGCCCCCGGTCAAGGGGACAGTGAAGGTCGCATCAACAAGCTTTTATCTCAGGACCAGTTGAGCGCTTTGTTTGGTCTCGACCGTTAGAAATCCTCTTAAAGCCGAACAAACAAATGATGAGCTGCACTAAGTACGAAGCTCTAAGTGTGAAGCTCAGCCTAAATGCTTTTCTAACAATTTACCTCATGGAGGGATGAGGCAAAGGAGAAGACCCCAGTAAGCCCCATAAACCCCTGCAAGAAGGAGACGTGATATAAGATGCACAATCTTTGAACAGGGCTTTTAACGCAGCATGGCAAATACAGATAAGTTCAGAGTAACAGAAAAAGGTATTGGACAAAAATATTCTCGCTTATGTTATTTACCCAAAAAAAGAACCACATTCAACGGCAGAAGATTTTTAACTGGGATTTTACTTGCAAGGTCAGGTTTTCAGGACAGGTTAAAGAAATATACATAAAATGTACACACATGAAGAGCAGTCACTAGAAGCTGCCCCCTCCGCTTGTTTTTATACCCTGATCAGTTCAGCGGAGTCCACAGAGCTCAGGAGGTGTCAGCTGCAGCCTCACCCAGCTCCTCTGCTAACCCAAACATATGGTTCATGGGCAGAGATAAGATGCACAGCCATAGTAATAAAAACATCCATAGCTTTTGACTAAAAATGATCTGACAAACGTATTTATTGTTCATAAATATGAAGAGAAGCTAGTTTATAAAACCTGCAGATTTGTAAGAGTTTGTCTATCGGACAGAACTTGGCAACTTTAGATAGTTTCATCAAATTTCTCTTTTTGTTTCTGTTAGAGACCAGAATAATTTTCTCTGTTTTTCAAAGCATTAAAAAAAACATGCAAGAGGATATTTATTTATCTGTTGTTTACTTGATGCAAAATAAAAACGAGGTGGAAGGACTGTCTGTATGTGCCAAAACAGCTGCTTGTATGAATTATAATGTCTATTTGTGTTGCTTCTTATCTATTTTACTTTATCATGTGTTTATGTGTCTGACGTAAATGTTAATAGTAATGCTTTTTAACTCGAGTTGATGTAACGAGGGTCGCCTCTGAGCTCTGTAATAATCGTGACAAAATCTTGTGATTGAGGAAAATGCGTTATTCTGTTCAGAAGAATTAAAACGTTGAGCCGCTTCAAGCAGAACAAACAAGCAAGAAGATCAATGAACATAAAAAAAATCATTTAACATTTCTGAGGCAAGAATGTGGTAAATTCTGATTCATGCGTCCTTTACTGTCGAGTGAACTTAACACCGTGTGAAATGAAGGAGCGTTAAGTTTGATCCTGTAAAAGGAGACGCAATACTTTCAGTTCATTTTGTCGTTCAGTTCAGTTTGCCACAGTAACTACAGTTAAGCAGATTTTCTGTTTCTTCTTCAGGTTTTCTGCTGTTTTGCCCAGTTTGGGTTCTGTGCTGCTGGAATGATTGAAGCTTCTGAAGCGCAATGATGAGACCAGTCGAAGGCTTCAGATGTGGGAGCAGCCGACTGAAGTTTCTGGAGAATTTACCGTTTCACCGAGGCTTCGAACAGACTCGAAGTGAGGAGGAGACGTCAGAAGGCGTGAGGCGGGAAAAGGTTCAAACCTTTGCTTTATAAACAGGAAATGAAGAAACACAGCAGGAATGTTTCGGGCTGAACGTTATCAAAAGTTGCACAGGGCCGCTTCTTGCTAACTGAATGTCAGCAACACATTAAAAAGGTTCAACAATATTCAGTCTGGTCATCTGGACGGTTTCTTTTATTTTGTTGAGACGTTCCATCCTTCATTCAAAAGACTTCATCTATATCATCATCTTCAGGGATCTATACTTGGCCCCCTTCTATTTTCCCTTTATTAACTTCCTCTGGGATATATTCTCCGGAAACATGGTGTTACTTCAGTTTGACATTAAAAAGGTTGGTTCATCAGCCAGAGTTACTCTGCTGTAAGTATAAAAAAAATAAAAAAATAAAAAATAAATGGACTTCTGTTCTGTTTTTGAAACAACTTGACTGAAACAGAACAAGTCTAGTTGTTTTTTTTTTAACTTATTTTTTTATTGATGTCATCTATTTTTTACTCAAGTTTGCATTATTTAAAGTATGCAATAAACTGGTACTTTGGAAATAAAAAAACATAAAGAAATAGATAAGTGGTTAGAGCAGTTGTCCTCCAATGCTAGAGTTGGGGGTTCGAATCCACCAGCAGCCAAATGCCGAAGTGTCCCTGGGCAAGACACTGAACCCCTCATTGCCTCCGATGTGTGTCCCATCAGTGAATGAATGTGATAAAGCTCTGATTATTCTCTGTATAGATTCAGTAGAGTGCTGTATGAATGGGTAAATGAGGACAGAATGTGTTGTAAAACACTTTGAGTATCTTGATAAGACAGAAAGGCGCTGTATATGTGCAGTCCATTTACCATTTATCAATAGTTTGAATGTTTACCTTCAAAACTGTGTAATTCAAAAATAAAATTATTATATGTTTAAGGATATTTCTATATTATTTAATTATTGTTAAAACCTCTGGATTTTTTTTCTCTTGATTTAGGTTGTTTCTGATACAAAAAGTGATGAAAAGTGAAGAAAAAATAAATACCACAACACCTCATTCCTGATAACTGATGAATATTAATTATTTTATTTAAGCCAGCAGAATTGTAATAAGATGCATTTTAATCCACGATGGAGAGCTCCAACACATTTGCTGTCAGCCTAAGTTGTGACGTTGGTGAGAGAGACGGTCTCAGTGAGTGGGAGAGTGTTCGCTGTGAGCTGCAGCGCTGCTGATGGCTGTGAGGAGGAGGAGGAGGAGGAGGAGGAGGAGGAGGAGGAGGAGGAGGAGGAGGAGGGGGAGGAGGGGGGGGGGGCGGGGGGGGGGGGGGGGGGGGAGGAGGAGGAGGAGGAGGAGGAGGAGGAGGAGGAGGAGGTAGCTGCAGCTCTTCACATGGAGGAGTAATTAGCTGCAGCCCTCATTGACAAAACCAACTTGTTCATGAGAAACTGAAGCAGCACAGCCATCGGAGCTGCTGCTGCTTCCTTTGAGCTTTGTAAGACACTTTAAATGAGTAATAAAAGTCTAAAACGCAACACAATTCTAAGAGTGAACCGTTTGGACGTGCACGATAACGCGTGAAGCGTGGAGCTGATCTATTTTTAATCCAAGCATCTGTCGGCTGCTTTGTTTTGTCAGAGGCCTAATCGCAGAGCTGGCAGAGTGCAGCAGAGAGGATTTGCAGAGTCAGCTACTTACGTAAGGAGACCTCCGGGGGCAGACATGGACCTCTCTGCCCTCCGGCCCTGACACTCAAAGGGATTACTGAAAGACCGCTTCCTCAGCATGGACTTCACAAGAATCTGCAGTGGACATCAGAGAAAATTCATTCAACCTTTATTTTATACAGCATGTTTTCAGAAAAACTGTCCAGATAATACAAGGATAAAAAATAAATAAATATATATACACACTATTGAGCGCACCCGAATATAAGCCGCACCTACTAAATAAATTTTGTACATATATAGGCCGCGTTTGTCTATAAGCCACAGGTGTCCATGTTATAACATGAGATATTTACATAGAAATATTTTTTTAAACTTTTAATTAAATACGTCCTGGTACCATACACACATATGTACAGTATTGTTTTTTTTTCTGAACAGGGCCTGTAATGTGGATGATTAAAAAAATAAAATAAAATGCAGCAGCCTACCAGGAAACGCCTAGCTTACGTGCAGCAGCTAAATTTCCTTCTTAGTCAGCCAGACTGATCACCTTTAACTTGACAGCTGCATCATGATTTGGGTGTGTGCATGAAGCGCAAAATAACTGAGCTGAAGAATTTGGTGTGAGTGCGTTTGATTTATGGTAATTCGAAGTTTCATTGGTTCATTTTGACCTGTTTGGTAATTTCATTGTTCAGATTTTGTTTGAACCTTTATTAATACAGGTAGTCCCACTGAGTCACGAGGACACCCCCCCCCCCCCACACACACACACACCCACCCACCCAAGAGAGACTTGTATTGGGCAGCTTTGTGAGCGTCCGGGTGTGATCAAGCTAAATATTTTGTTGGCATGAAGTTCGTTAGCCTGTCAAAAAACCCAAACATAAATTAGCTGCAGCACTGTATAAACCACAGGGTTCAACGCCTGTGAAAAAAGCAGCAGCTTATATTTTGAAAATTACGAGTATACGGTATGAATATGTATAATATATATAAATATATATATATATATATATATATATACACATACATACATACATGTATATATTTATTTATTTTTTTAAATGGTGTGTTTTTTAAAAGTCACATTTTATACATTATCCTTTTTTTAATTTTTTTTTTACTGTAACGTGTTGATACTTATACATTTTTTTTTATATCTTTTTTTTTAAATAAAACCATCAAAGACTGGTAAAATATTTATTTCTCTTTTATTCTGTCATGCAAATATTCCAAATCCACAACATTAAATGAGGTCTTACTCTTCATTTAGCGCTTGTGAAACACGTTCTGAGTATAAGTGTCTCATTTAGATTGATGAGAGAATAACAGACATGATAATCGTGTTAATGATGGGGTTGAACAATAAACTGAAACATAGAGAAGATCACTGCTAATATTCCAGCTGGAGACTCACCATAGCGGAGAGGCTGGGGATGAGTTTGACGCTGTTCTGCACCTCCTCGTCGGTGACCTCCACCGCCGTGCAGTGCTCCTCCTCCAGAGGGAGAGGGTTGGAGCCGTTCTCCGTCACCCACGGATGGAGCTGCAACAGCAACGTGTGAACGTGATGGTTACATTAAAAAGCCAGGTGTTGTCACTCTCACCTTTATTTCAGGGAGGCTGATTCTTGTTGCAGGGTTTTTATCCAGCATCTTTTCAATCAGATCTTTCAGCTCGTTGCTGATTATTGGCCTGTTGGGGGGGGGGGGGGAAGAGAAAAAATAGTACAAAAGGACGTGTTAAACAATTACTGTTAATTTTTTTTAAATACTTTATAAGGGTGCACAAGATAAATTATTTTTCATAACGTTTGGCATTTGAAACAAATCTGTTCATTTAACCACTAAGAAGGAACATCACATGCATTTTAAATGTTTGTTTTAGTGCATTTATTTGCACGTAAAGCACAAACACTATGACCAGAGGTCATCTGGTCCCAGAAGAAAAGGTAACATCTTGATTTGCACACAAATTTGGTGCATTTTTTCCTCATTACACCTGGTTTTATCAAATAAATAACATATCCATTTATTTTTTTTTAAACTAAAGAATTCTGTTTTTACAGTTTAATACACATAAATTAATTTCATGCGCAAGCGTGTCTGTTATTATGAAGAAAAAGGCCTTAATCCTAAATTAAAATGTTCTCTACATAATGACTTCATGTGAACATGAAAGGCTTCTGCCTCAGGATTTACAAATAATTCTTAGAAATGGCAAAAATTACAAATATTTACTTCAATGGGACATTTAAAAAACAAACAAACAAAAGGTCTGTGTGACAACAGAAATCTCAAAGGGAGGGTCACATATATATTTTTATGGTAAAGAACGATTAAAGACCGAAGAATGAGGATGAGGGAGACATAGCTGCACATTATAAAAAACTAGAGAACATGCATTTCCTGCAAAAATGTAGTGCAGAAGAACTTGCTGAAAAACAGCTGAAATTAGTTTAAAAAAGATGTGCTGAATTGTAGCTGAAATGAACGATCGAGACTTAATTAGCATAAGAAAGCAGAAGGAACACACAATTGCTTAATTAGTTTTAAATAAGCAGAAATGACGACAAAAATAGGATGTTAGCTAAAAAACGCAGCTAAAAAACGCAGACATTTGCAAAAAAAATAGCTGAAAAGTAGCTGAGAAGGCAGAAAGAAGCTTAAACTACATTAAGGAAGTGGAAAGAGCTGAAATGAGCTAAAAACCATTGAATAAGCTGAAAAGGCTAAAATTAGCATAAAGCAGCTAAATAGTAGCTGAAATTACAGAAAAAGCTGCAAATTAGAAGAGATAAGCTGAAAGGTGCACAACAAGCTGAAATTAGCAGAAAGAAGTTAATTAGGCTGAAAGGCGCAGAAATTACCACAAAAAACTTAAATTTATCTGAAAGCAGCTGAAATTAGCTAAACAACGCTAAAAAAGTAACTGAAAATGTAGAAGAAGCTTAAATTAGCAGAAGAAAGCTGAAAGAACACATGTTTGCCCAGTTAGGCTGAAAGAAGCAGAAATGAGCAAAAAAAAGTGGAAATTATCTGAAAAAAGGTGAAATTAGCAAAAACAGCTGAAAAGTAGCTCAAAAATCAGAAAGAAGCCAAAATTACAAGAAGGAAGTGGAGCGAGCACATTTTTGATGAATTAGGCAGAAAAAAGTTGAAATTAGTTTAAAAAATGTGGGATTAGCTGAAAAAGCTAAATTAGCAAAAAAAATTCCCCAAGATAAATAGTTGCTGAAATAGCATAAACAGCTGAAACTTGTAGAAATAAACTGAAAGGAGCATAACAAGCTGAAAATAGCAGAAAGGAGTTAGAAGAATCCCAAAAATGTTGTAGTTAGCAGAAAGAATCTGAAATGAGCACAAAACAGCTGCAATGAGCTGAAAGTAGCTGAAAAAGTTTCAATTTGCACAAGGAAGCTCAAAGAAGCTGAACCAGAACAAAATGTGAAAGGAGCAGTAAAGGGTTGTAAGATCTGAAGGATGGAAAATGAGCTCAATTCATTTCCTATGAGGAAAAAAAAAATGTCCGAAAAGGCAAAATATTTCAAAAAGCTAAAGTTGCACCAATACCAAAAGTCATAGCAGGATTGTCCTGAAAGAGCATTTTGATTTATGATTTGTTGAAATGGCACAAAAACTGTGGAAAGAGAAAGATACAGAAAAACGTACGGAAGAATTTAGAAGTGGCGATAGGTTCACAATAGTGTGAATGCTTAGTAAACATTCACACAATGAATTTTAAGCATGAAACAATAAATTAGGCTCATTATTCAGAGTACACATATACATGCAGGACGTTGTACTCGGTGTAATAATAAGAAGTAGCTGCTGGTAATGCAAGACGAAGCTGCTCAGTTTCACTAAAATGCTTCAACACTAAAAGTCCATCATCTTACAACCTGCAAAACACTGACCCAGGGTCAGAGATCTTATTAATGACCAGGTGAGCGAACCCAAAGTGCTTCATTTCCAATAAACAATGAGCAAAATAAATAAATCTCTGCAAAATAAATCCTGATAAAACATCTCAGCAGTTCAAACCTTCAGTGTTTAACGTGATTATTTTTTTTAAATGTTAGCTTACATTTGTGGAAACTCTACAGGTTGGCTCTTGATCTTGTTGTGAAGAGAAACGATGTACTCATCGTAAAAAGGGCACTGCAGAGGAACAAACGCAGCGAGGGTGAATCAAATCTGTTACCGTTGGACGCCGTGTCGCTGCATGAACACTGCAGTGAGATTACCTTCCCAAAAACAAAACAGTACAGCGTGACTCCCATCGCCCACACGTCTAACGCCTGTGGAACAAACAAACAACAGTCGGGATGTGTCACCATCACCGAGGCTTCCTCTGTAGGTGGAACGTATCACACTTCAAAAGAAGAAGACGTGTAATTAACCAGCGACCGCCTCACTTTTCCACTGAAGCTCTGCTGTTGTTCGCTCATGGTCTCTGGAGCCATGAAGGCCGGCGTCCCCGCCGAGCTGGACAGGAGGGCGTCCGTCCCCTCAAACTCGTTGCTCACACCGAAGTCTGCGATCTTGACGTGACCGTCGTCCCCCAGCAGCAGGTTGGACGGCTTGACGTCTCGGTGGATGATCCTGTGGTAATGCACTACAACACAAATACACAAAAACAAAGTTTTTTCTCTTTTCTATAAAGATTTAAACAAAATAAATAACAATACACTGAACATAATTGTAAACTATACATATATATACAGCTGTTAATCGTTGAATTCAGGTGTTTCAGTCATTGTTTGGGCTTCATTAACAGCCAGCGAGGGACAAGCTTAATGCTTTGACATACCAAGATGTTTTGGACAATGATCTGCTTCTAACTTTGAAGACAAACTTCTTGGAAAGTTTTTTCTATCCCAACATGACCGTGCTCTTAACTTACAGTACTCCATACCCAGGACGACATCTCTGAAGTAAAAGCGAGCCTGATCCTCCGTTAACGGCTCGTCTGTGGGCACCTCCACCACGGGCCTGAGCGGTTGTGAGAGATGCAGAGAAGCAAAACGACGCGTTACTCACAACAACAACACTGAATCATCACACAGCCAGCTCTACGTCACTGAAACGTACCCTTTAGTCATCAGCTCGAAGGCTTGGTGACAAAATCAGAATGTAATGTTAAATTAGATTTGCATTGTTACTGCTGCTGCAAACAGCCGAGTGGTTTCGTACCCATGTGAAGTCCGTCTTCATCCGGGTCATCAAGCACCTGCAAGACACATCAACTCAGATGTTACTCATCAGTTCGAATACTTCGCAGTTCCTCATTGTGTGAATGTTTATGAAGCTTTCAGTCTGGTCATCTGGACAGTTTCTTTTTTTGTGC